ACTACTTCTCCTCCTTCTTCTTTGTCCTCTTTTTCTTCTTTCCAACTACAGGGGATGGTCTTGTTAAATATAATTATCAAACCCAGGTTTAATTTGCCAATTTCAGCCCTGGTTCCAGAGTCACTTCTTACTGTCTTCCTTAGTTTCATTTGCTTTACAGTTAGACTCCCTTATGCTTGGCATGCTATTAGCTAGCTTCAATAATACTTTAAATGGTATTAAAAGTGTGCTCACTGTCTACAGTTAATAGCTGGATCTTGCCAATAACACATTAGGTTTGCTCCCGTAGTTTAGTAAATAATGTCGCCTGTCTTGGCCAAAAGAGTGATATTCCTGACTTTTGTGTATTCCCGGAGCCAGGTCAAAAGATCAGTATCCTTTTATCAAATTTGTCACGTTCAGCCTTTACCACAGTTTATTATTTCATGTGCAAATGATCCGTGCTTCATTATGTACCAGTAGAAAATTCCAAGGTGATTCTATATGAGACTTTGGCACTAAGTGACCTCTTAACAACTGTGCTGTCTGAATATGGCAGTGGTACTTTTTGTTGTAATTATGCATAAATTGTTTCCATAATTTGCAGTATGAATTATGATGATATTTAAAATTATATAATTGTTCATGACTTAACTAAGATACTGCACTTTCTATAGTAACATCTTTGCAGTATTTAAAATGGCATTTGTAGTGGGGAGATAGATGGAAGAGTCCAGTTCCAAAAGCCTAGCAGGAGAAGTAAAATATTTTTAAAAGGGAAACAAATTGTTTGTAAAGAAAAAAATGTCAGATTCATACTAACCTTAGGGTTACACAGATAAATACATATCTTATCTGCTAGAACCATGTTATTCATATATTAAAATCTACCCCTCAATTTAACTTTCTCTTTTGTCACAGATCGGACACTGAGCCTGTTGTACAGCGGTGCTAAGAACGTGATGAACAACAACACTGTGGAGCGAATGGAGATGGGCATCGAGGCGCAGAAGGTGAAATCTGCCAACACTCTCCACCAGATGTGCCTCACTGCTCAAGGAACCCTCGCCAGACCTCAGCCATTTTCCAAGGTGGGCTGATCTCTAATTTTCTGTTGGAAATGGGAACAGCAAGATTTTTTATGAGGCGTTATATCTCATGCTGTTTGTGATAGAAGCAAGAGCATTCTGACTTTAGATGTACTCTTTTTGGGGGGTTGAAATAGGACCAGTAGAAAGAACTTGCATATATATGTGTAATATATTTATGTAAGGAATGTATCAGATTAACAGAATCTTAAGGTATTATTTTTTTATTGTTATAAGCATCATTAGTTAGAGGATATGTAATTAAATGCATTAAGATACAGTGTTATACTCAATTACTTTCCTTCAAAGCTGATAAGATCTTTTTACTTTTTGGAGTATATTTCTTTCCCAGCAAAGTTACTGAATAATAAATCCCATTTAAAACAATTTTTATGGCACCTGCAAGCACTCAGCCACCAAAGAGTCAATTATTAGGCCTACCTGCTCTCATGTTTACCCTAATTCCTTTTAACTTTCATAAAACCAAATTTTATTCCTAGTTGTTATCATCATCATGTTAGTAATAGTAAGAACATAATGTTATTTTCATCCTCATTATTATCTGGTATATAACAAGTGATAATAGAGAAGAAATAAAATTTTCTTCCCCAAAATTCAAACAATGGGGTAAATAGATCAGATGGACCTAGCAGTTCAAAAAGTTGTGACTAAACACTAAACAAAATGAATAAAACAGAACCATAGCGGAGAGTGCATGTCTCTCCCTTTATTTGAGTCTTCAGTTTTTGCACATATGCAGTCTCAGCATCAAGATGTTAAGGCTGTGGTAACCTACTGTGGCCCCCAACTGCAGAGCAAGAGTGGGTGGAATCAGGCAGGAAGTGCTTTCATCTGATTTTCTGCCACAAGCATGTAAAAATATAAATACACACATTTTACTTACTGTCTGAACTATATAGCTGAGTGGTAGTGACATATGGCAGGGCATTGTCAGATATGGATTTAGTAAATTAAGGATTATATATAGTATTCATTGGTGCACATTATATTAATAAAAAGGGCTATTATTAGCCCACTTTCCCATAGTAAATTTGACTTATAAACAACAAAGTTGCAAAATAGATAGGTATGGAGCGAAGTAAGTATTTTTTTTTGCTATACAAACCCAACTATATTAAGAACATTTGCCAGTTCTTTTCAAATGCAAGACTGATTAGTGTTTTTAGGCCTCTTATTTGTAATTAAAAAAAAAAGCATTGCTCTCCATGTGTTTACCAGCTTATGAGAAGTTCAATTTTAAAAAGAAAGAAATCCAGTAAAACAAAAGGAAGGACGGAAACACTAATAATTTTGTCTATTAATTGATTATTACATCCACAGAATATGGAGATGCAACCAAAGAACAGAAGCTCATGTGGTCACAGTCCAAGTATAAGGCAGTCTGTTATAACATCATGCAGTTACTGTGAAAGCCAGCTGTGTGATTCGTGCATTAAGTCTTGTCATTTCTGCCAAGGAATATTTTGTCCAAAGTGCTCATTAACTGTGTAAGTATTAATTCAGTATAGTGTGTTTCCAGTAATAGTGATGTAATCTAATATAATTTTGCTAGTCTTAAAAGCCTAGATAGAAATAATTATCATGAAGGAGGGTGAACATATTTTGAGTGTAAAAACATGAAGATTTGTTAGCATGTGTACATATTTGAGACAGTGTTAAAATGCAGGATTGATAATTCTGGGAAAAGATTTTTAGACAGTGGAGGGGGGGGAGGGAGAGAGACAGAGAGAGAGAGAGCATTGGGTGTTTGTTCTTGAATGTGAGTAAAACGTCTCCTCTCATTTTCCCCATCATCATCATCAATCATCATCAATCATCATCAATCATCCATCATCCATCATCCATCATCATCATCAATCATCATCATGATGACTGTGACTATGAATGTGCAATGGTATGTACTTCAGTAGGTACAAAGCTACTAGTTAATGTTAGTGTATAGGAGTTGGGAACAGTGAATATGTGAATAATATATATTAGTTCTTTTTAATAAAGCCTCTTAATTTGATAATTGTAGAGAAAGAGGAAGCCATATTAACCCAACGATTAATATGCATTAAAGAGACCATGCAACAGTGTACACTTAAAGTTGGTCACTTAAGTCTTAACCTAGAGGAGAAGAGAACATATGCTTACCCCACTCTGTGAGCATTTGATTTTCTAGTAATAAAGGCTCAAACAAGGCATTAACTCCACTTTTTGAGGTGTTGTAGCAAATAGAGCCAAACAATTAAACCTCTGTTTAGGACAGGTAACTTAGAGCTGGCTGACTACACATGGCACATGTCCTTGGCACCTGGCATTTTGCCATGTTTCATTATGGTAAGATTAGATATTGAATGTCAACATACAGTTCAAACTCACTGGATGGTAGTGCTCTACTTAGTTTGTCTGAGCATAATTCAAATTCACTTTTGACCGGGGTGGATTTTGATGCCTTTCTGTCTAAATGCATATGTAGAGAGATGGATAGATATATATATTGTGTATTTAAGTGTCAAGAACACTTCATAAATTGGCATGTATTATTAGTATTTGTTCAGAAATACAAACTTTAATAGTGGAAATGGAAGATAAAACTGATACAGCAGTTCATTTGGGTTTCAAACTACAACCAAGAGAAAAGTATCAGGTCTTGTATGCCCCAAGTTTTTCTTCTGTAATTGGTCATTTTTCTTGATCCCACAGTCATTACTGAGATTCTTCTTCTGCAATATTTACAAGTGTTTGTTGATTATAAATTGAAAGTTCTGGTGCATTGCATTTTTTAAATATGATCTTAACATGAGGTTGGGTGAAGCTAAAATTTATGATTGAATTTTTAAACTTTTTTCACTTTCAGAGTACTCGATTAGGTACCACAGTAACATGTTTAATTTTTCATTGTTGCAGATATCAAGAAGAAGAGAAGGTTTTGTGTCTCAGCTGCTGTTGAAGTTCTCTCCTGGATACAAGTTGTATTAATAGAAATTTGTTAATTCATTCATTTTTATTATGTACCTGTGACTTCCCAGATTTCATGTGATAACAATTTTTTGTACTCCTTGTGAATGCTTTAAAGTATTTTGTCTGAATAGATAATTACTATGAATTTAATCTGGAAGTTCTTTTCCATTGCCATTCGTTTTAGTCGATGTTCGTAGATTACATTGGTTGCGTTTTAATCCTCAGGGTATAGAACTTGCATGTCTCATTATTTGGTTGATTAAGAAAGAGAACATTTATTAGAGTGAATATGTAGTAAGCTTTTAGACATTAATAAATATTAAAATGCATTACACTTTGGATGTATTCTTAACCTACATATTACTTTTGTTGTGTGGAAATTACCATTTTTCTAGTAAATTATGAAATGGGCATGGGCATGCCATGCCATGCCCACTGTGAGTTTACTTATTTGATTGTTTTTACACATAGATGGCTCATAGATGGCTACACTTGTACTAAGCCACCAATGAGCCAATTACAAGTACTGCCTGTCTCGACCGTTCACCCTTTTCTTTAATTTTCGAAAATATTTTACATTATCTTATTTTGCTATTACTAATATTCATAACATTATAGTAATTATAATGTTTATAATAAAAATAACACCATCGATATTCAATATTCATCATATTCACTAGTAAAAAATACATTTTCCCACCAATTCAAGGAAAGGTGAAATCAGGTAAGGCAAAGACATTTCACAAAAAAAATATATAAAAAATGAGCACAGCAATTTCCCCATTCTTTATTCATTTTCCCCAGCGGCAATGGGTTAAGATATTTAGTTGCTAAAAAATATCCCTTTTCTTCTCTTCTTTTTTTCTCTCCTTATTAATGCAACTTGCGCAGTACCACACAGACTACTATTCTGTATGGAAAAAAACAAAAACATTTTTACTTCATTTTTTATTAAAATATACTGATACAAATAGTAGTAATAAAATAAGGCATTTTCATGAAATGAATCATTAACATTTATTTCAGTGATCCCTGTAATACATTGCACAATCTGCATTTTGAAATATATCGACCACATGATAAAACCCTGGAATAATCTCTGCCTAACCCATCATTTTCCATGCAAGGAAATGTCATTAGGCCAAGTGAATGAATTGATTCTTACAATATATAGATATATTTTAACAACACTGATACTATTTGTACAAAAATTAACTTCTTGGCAATTAAAATTACAGTGGCTGCAACAACAGATCCAAGTTGCTGTATCTTTCTTCAGAAATAGACACTCAAGAATTAGATAACAAAACATCTACTGCTTAAGTACAGTACAGTATTAATAATCGAACTAGCTGCACTAATAGTATCAGTATCAGCAGTAGTTTGTATTAAACAAAGGTGAAATGCTCCTGACCAACGCTTAGCTGCCAGGCATTGGACATTTCCCCTTTGGACAACTGAGGCTGAATGCATGAATCCAAATATATATATGACAAGTCTGAGAAGTGGCTAAACTAGCAAATACTCAGCCAATAAATGACCTCACAGGCTGCTGGTAAATCTGTTAAATATAATGTACAAAAGACAGTTGCAAGATAGAATTGCTTATGATTCTAATAATATGTCTCATTTCGTAAAGCACCAAAGTACGAAATATTTAACATAAAGCTGAAGTCTGCTATCTAAAAACAGAAGTATCCCAGGATACATTTCCTGATACCAAATGCCCACAATCCTAAAATATCACTTTTTGCAATTTTCACTTTACACTACAATTTTTTTTTATAAATAATTTACAAAACATTAAAATTCATACCTTTAGTCATGTAGCACTGGAAAGTAATCACAATACACCATAATAATTATTATGCAGTGCATTTGCAATAGGGATTTTTGTATATGCAATACTAGTTTTTTTTCACCAGAAAATTACACCATTAACACAGCAAGCTAATTGGAAAACACACTTCAATCACAAACATTAAAAACAAAACACAAAGACAAAATAACAACAACAATCATAATCATAACACATACTTCTTTAAAACTTTCTGGACTATTATGACAAGCAAAACAGCGTGGAATCCTATAAAGCCATACGACACCATTGCCGATGAATTGTTGGCAAACCAAGTACTCCAAAACCCAAGTAAAGTGGCGACCATACCTAGACTAAACGTCAGCATCCCAACTACCGCATGATTGGCTTTCACCCTCCTTGCATGCATGAACATTTTCAGGAGATTTGGGTACTTGGCAAACACACCCACGCTTAGCTGAAGGACAAGGAACACCGAAGCTACAAGACCTATTGTGCCGTGCCAGGAAGTAAAATGCGGCTTATCGTTTAACTCTTTGTTGAAATAGATGGCTCCAAACCCCAGGCTGTGACAGACTGCGGTTAATAATAAGAGAATCCAGTGTATAGTTACTCTCGTACTGTGAAGGGCACCTGCGGCCAGGCCAGATTTGGAAAATATTAATAGGGCTTCTGTCATCAAACCTGTAAACTGGAAAATTTTAAAAATGAGAGTCTGGTACTTATCCTGTATAAACAGATTGCATGTTTAACCCATTCGCCACGGAATTATGTTCTGTCCTCTGTAGTTTTTGATGAATTTTGTTACCTACAGATGGCTCCACATGTACTCAGCCGGCAAGGAGTCTATCAGTAGGCCCTAGTTACCGACCCTGATTCTCCCATTCATTCAATTGGCAGGAAAAATAATATCATTGCTATCGATACTGTTATTATTGTTATTGATGTTATGATTATTAAATTGTCATTAGAATATTTTAGACAATGAAATGATACAAAAAAACTTTTCCTAAAGTGAAGGAAAAGGGTAAACGGGTGAAATAGGTAGTTCTTGATAACTGGCTGTTTGGTGATTAAGAACTTGTGGAGCCATCTATGTGTAAATACAATAAATAAACGTGTCTCAAAGTGGGTATGGCATCTATTCTTGCCACGTGTGGCGAATGGGTTAAAGCTTAATATCCATATTAACATACAGAAGTAAATGTAACTAAATGCATTCATCAAGACTATTTCACTTCCTTGCACTGGAAATCTATAGACTAAATGAATCAAATTCTAATAATTATATATACTATATATATATATATATATATATATATATATATATATATATATATATATACATATATATATATACATATACATATACACATGTATACATATACACACATATACATATACACACACATATACACACATACACACAGACACACAGACACACATATACACACATATACACACATATACACATATACACACATATACACATATACACATATACACATATATATATACACATATACACATATACACATATACATATATACACATATACATATATACACATATACATATATACACATACATATACACACACACACACACACACACACACACACACACACACACACACACACACACACA